TGAAGAAGCCAAAAACTAAACTTGGATCTTCATGTGTGTAAATGTAACAAAAAATAATGATTGATGAAAAATAATATTTAAGAGGAGGTGCAGTGATAATTACAATTATACTAATTAAGTTTAGAGAAAATAAAATTAAAACTTTTATGTTACAATACAATTTTTAAAGAATTTTGTAATGTGAAAGTTCACTGGAACTATCGATGTGAATTCATGACCTTGGAAAGAAATACCTTTTTCCAGCTCTCACTAGTGGATGTGCAGTGTTTTTCTATCTACCACTGATATTCTTGTGGAACAATCCAGTACGCATACCCTGGTGTCCAAAGTGTGGTCTCTATCGCTATTTCCCGTTAAAGGTTGCTGATTCCATGTGTTAGGTCAAGAACTGGAATAATTCTTTGTGGTCAGAAAGCTCAGATGCTATTCAAATGTCTATTGTAGGCCTGAAAGGACAAAGGCCTCAACTTAAAGGGGCGAAATTGTGACGATTTGAGCATCAAAAGAGCAAAGAATAATTATAGTTAGTTGAAACAAGTTGAGTCTGCAAACATTTCTTTTGTGCAATGTGATGAGCTGACTTTATAATTTATATGGAAAAGCAAAGAACCGGAAGTTGCAAAGACGCGCCTACAGAACGGCAATGTGGGGGGCCTGGCCCAACCAGATATGAAAACGTATTTTAAATATTGTGATGCAGACCATGTGTTCATGTCACAGGAATAGACACATAGACCACATTTGGAAGCTTGATCTATGACAGAGCTGAGCATGCAGATCCATCAGGGGAAGACAATTATTCTGTACATGAGGCAGAATCTGGTCCCTTAGCCCCACCCAGATGCCAGAAAACATCTTTCAGGCGTCAGACAGTGACAGGTCAGAAGCTTCCAGCTGACTCCCAAGAGGAACTCTTAACCTGCCCACAGTATACAATTCAATTAGGGAGAAAGTAAAAATTCGAGAATTTAGGAAATGTGTATAGGACAATCAGTTATGCAAATGGAAGAAAAAATTCAGATTCCTACTTAAACCATACATAAAAGTTAATTAAATGTAAAGAGCAAAACTATGAAAATATTCAAAGGAAATATAGGGGAATATCTTCATGACTTTGTGGTAGGGAAGAGTTTTTAAAGCATCACTCCAAATTGCAAAATAAAAAGGAAAAGAATTATAATTTTGACTAAATTAAAATGAAGAACTTTTGTTCATTGAAAGAAACCATAAAGAAAATGGAAGGACAAGCCACAAACTGGAATAAGATATTTGTGACACTTATAGCTGAAAAAGGGTTATATCCAGAAAATACAAAAATATCTAAAAATCAACAAGAAAAAGAAAAACTACTGGTAGAAAATTCCTCAAAAGTTTTGACAGAGACTTCACAGAAGGGGAAATACAAATACAGAATTCAATAAGCATAATAAACAATGGTCAGTATCACTGCTAATCAGGGAATGAAATCCACAACGAGATACCATTTTATAAACTTCAGATTTGCAAAAATGATAAAACTAGACAATATCAAGTATTGGTGAGAAGGCTGAGTAAGAGGACACTTACATACTTACAGTGAGAATGTGAATCAGAACAACCAACACTGGGGGACAATTTGGCAGTATCTAGTTAACGATACACACACTTTATGACTTAGCAATCCCACTCTTGATCATATGCCCTAAGAAACACATAGGAATGTTCACCACCCAAAGTACGTCATAGTAAAAATATGGAAACAACGCAAATGTCTATTGACTGGAGAGTGGTGTGGCAGAGACTGTAGGTTGCCCCCCACCACCAGGATCCACTTCCCCTCCTTTTATGACCTCTGACTTTTAGCCACTCTCAGTAAAGACTGTATTTCCCAATCTCCTTTTCAGCTAGATGTGGCCATGTGACTAAGTTTTGTCCAGTAAATTATAAGCAGAGTGGCATGTTTAATTTCTCCTAAGCCCTTGATCTTTTCTGGGGCTGGAACATGGAGTTGATGGCTGGGGTTGGAGCAGCCATCTTGGCCTATGAGATGACTTTAGGAAAGGAAATCACTCACAGCAGAATAAAAGAAAAGGCCTGGATCCCGTCACTGCGGAGTGCCATCCCAGCTCTGGACCCCTCCTCTCTGGGCTTTTACATGAGAGAGAAATAAACTTCTATCATCTTTAAACTACTGTGTGCTAGTTTGTATTGTTGTTCAGCAAATATTTGCTTCTGTCTCCCTTCCCCTTTCCCACTGATGTGACTTGGCCATAGGACACATTTCGTCCAATGGAATGTGACTAGACATGATGCAAGTGGAAGCCTTGTGGTCTTGGTCCTTGTGTGCCAGTAAATTGTTATGGGAAGAGCATGCCCCAGACAGCCACTGACCCCTTACCCTGGAGCCCTGAAAGGGCTCACCTGGGGCAGATCTGAACCATGCACAGCCTGGAGCCAAGCTCAGCGGATCCACGGCCTGAAGCAGAGCCACTGCGAGTGCCCGGTGATGAGCACCACACTCCCCCTGCAGACCCACAAACACAGGATCAATGCTCGTTGTTGAGACCTGCTGAGTTCCGGGACAATTGTCGTACGGCAAAGGCTGACTCATACACAGTGTTATTTAGGGCTTTCCATCTCTCAAAACTGAATCAATTCTAATACAAATGACTAGATACATTATCATATATTTATATATTGTTATTGAATACAAAATCTATTTGTCTTAGTCCATTCATCTGCTGTAACAAAATATCACAGAATGAGTAACTTATAAACAACAGAATTTACTTCTTACGGTTCTGGAGGCTGGAAGTCCAAGGGCGAGGCGCCAGCATGGGCGTGTTCTAGAGAAGGCCCTCTTCCCGGTTCTCGGCCAGAGCCTTCGTGCTGTGTCCTCACATGGTGGGAGAGGCAAGGGAGCTCTCTGGAACCTTTTTCAAAAGGGCACTAATCCCATTCATGGGGGCACCCCCCTCATGACCTAAGCACCTCCCAGGGGCACCGCCTCCTAAGACCATCCCCTTATAGGTTATGATTTCAACAGACGAATTTAGGGCGATACAAACAATCAGACCACAGCACTATTTGTATAATAAAAATCTCTAGTGACAATAAGTGATTCTCAAGAACTTAATTTTGAGGTACGAAAAGTAAGTCTCGGAAAGATACATATAATTCCACTTAAAGTGCAAAGCCTGCAAAACTAAACAATATTGGAATGGGGTATATACATAGGAAATAAATCTATAAAGAAAAGCAAGGGGTTAACAAACACAAAACTCAGCATTGTGTTTTCTCGGGGGGGCTGGGGTGGGAATGTAGATGTCACACAGGACGTTTTAATGGTACTGGGCCACTTCTCTCTCTTACATTGAGCAGTGAGCAGAAGGGTCCAACAGTGTGTCGGAGGAGGAGACCTGAGCGAGTCTGCCCAGGCCCAGTCCCCTCTCTGCAAACAGAGGAACCTCCCATGCCTGCTAACTATACTAAGATGCCATTAGACATGCAGAAGTTTCCATTGACTCAGGGGTCATAGAAATGTTTAAAAGAACTTGACTTTTTCATTTGTAATCAACATTTAAATATTTAAAATAATTTGACATGCATTTTATAACTTTTGAATGAGTATGAAGTATTCATATGTTTAGGAAAATTATGCTTCATACAACGCGCACGGAAGCCCAAGTTGTAGCGGTCTCTCTCTCCAGGCACAGAAGTCCTTTGGGTATTAAGATCCTAGATAATTATGGAAGAAAAAGGTGGTACGTAATTGCACGGGTGAATGTGTGTTATTGTCTGTAATGGTTCCTTTTCCATCTCCCAAAGCCATGATTGAGTTGGAGGTGCATTTTTGAGCTGGAATAGAAGAGAGGGGGCACGGGAGCACCGGGCCACAGGAGCAAGAAGCTCGTCAGAGCAACGCCCTTCAGAACAGGGAAAGCCCAGAGCCAGCGAAGCACATTTCCGCCATTCAGAGGAGATGCTTTGCTCACTTTTCTCACCAAAATGTGTTCAGAAATACCGAGGGACAGGCTCAGAGTACTTTGCCACTTAATCAAGAGGTTTTTAATGATAAAAAGAGACTTTCTGACTCACACGGTTTGTTTCCTGGGCTGTCCTATTCCATATACTGGCTCCCTGAGCCCCGGCTGAGGTCCGGGTCAGGGTGAGGTGTCTGGGCCTGGCCAGCGGGCATGCTGACTGCTCCAGCCCTGTCGAGGCCCCAGCTCTCCCTCTCCTGGGCTGCTGAGAGAGCAGCTTTTCTGCCTCCTGGGGTTTGACCTCGCAGGAGGAGCCACAGGACTAAGGAGGAGTGGACAGGAGTGTGGTTTCTAGAGCTCCAGGGAGAAAGCAGCCTGGGCAGCCGAGGCCTGGGACGGCTGGGTGTTTCTCTCTGCACACCCAAGCCTGAGGTCACTCCTCCAGCAGCTGCGTGCGGGAGCCTGCCAGGGCTGGGCTGGGCTCTGTCTTCTTAGCCCTGTCACATCAACTGCTAAGGGCCCCTCTTGCCACATCCACAGCCCCTCCTGGGGAAGTGCTGGGTGTGGCATGGATTGAGGAGGTGTGGTGGGGGGCCCACAGCTAGCTGAGGGTCCTGGCCATGTCCACATGTGTACGTCCACCAGCACTCCCTTCTCCCCATTCTGGGCATCCTCAGCTTCCAAAACCCTGGATCAAGGCCACCAACTCATTACACCAAAGATCCGTCAGGGCCCAGAGTCAGTTCCAGGGAGCTGGCCTCTCAAGTATGCAACAGAGTGGGGGCCAAGAGCGTGCTCCCGGGGCTGAGGGGGGCCTGTGGGGGATGTGTGTGTATCTATGGATGTCTAAAGGGACTGACAGGGGTGTAACTAGCCGGGCAGCTGCAGATGAAGATAACGAGAAAACCCAAGTGTGGTTGGGAAGACGACTTGCATTATCTATCAATATTTAAAATACACATACTCTTTTACCCAGCATGTCACGGTTCCTAGTTATAAATTCATCCTATAGATATATCCACACGTCTACACGAGACATTCAGTATAAGGACATTTATTGTAGCACTTTTTGCAGAAGCAAAAATTTGGAAACAAACTACAAGTCCATCATTAGGGAACTAGTGAGATCAGATATAGGACATCTATCTTATGAAGACTTGCTATGTGGCCATTAAAAAGAGCGAGGAGGATTTATAATACTGATACAAAAAGATTTCTAAGATATATTGTTAAATGAAAAAAGCAGTACGAGTATAACATTCCACAGCTGTGAACAAAGGGGGGGGGCGTACACAACGTGTGTTTGCACACACACAGCCTATAACAGGAAGGATGCACAAGAGGCTGGCACCACGGGTGTCTTTATGAAGGAGAGCCAGGGAACTCAAGGAGGAAGACACGTCCCCTTTTGCAATGTTTGATTTTTAAATTATGTGTATGCATTTCCTAGATTTACCAAATACTAACATTTTCAAAAACAGGGCTTGGAATGAACTACAGCTACAGAGTCCACATGTGTGGTCTATACAGGATAGACTTTATAAGGTGGACCGCCACCTTTGTGGTCCCCCCACACTGGGGGGCCAGCATTCAACAGGCAATGGGAGGGTGAATGTGCAGGTGGAAGGCAGTAAGGACGCACGTGGAAATGCAGCTGTGAGCAAGAAGGTGGCAGGTGCTCCAGAGCACAGGTGGGGCCTCAGCCCTTGCGGAGAGTATGGGGTCCCCAGAAAGCGATGCTAATATCTTATATAAACACGCAAGAGCTTTTGTACCTGATTGTTGTCCCCTTCAAAGTAGTCCGCGGAGAGCCTGGACACTCAGGAATCTCTGAGCTCAGGGCTTAAAAATGTGTCAGGAACTCCTGCTTGGACCCTCAGGGTAGTGACACGATCCTCATGGGTGGCAAATATTTACCTACAGAGGATGGGTCTCAATTTTGGAAATAAACGTCATTTGGCCACAACTTGGTTAGCGAAGTGAGAAATCAAGTTAGGCAATTATCTTTCGGTAAAAAAAAAAAAAACAAAACAAGGCCTAGGATCAAAGCAGGCTCTCTGATGCTTCTTAAACACGGGCGGGGTCTGACAGCTAAGCCCAAAAAGGATGCTGAAAAGATGATGCGCGCCTTGGCAGCCTGGTCGGAAGGAGGCTCTTGTCCCGAGGGGACTACTTTGAAGAAGTCGGCGCTGGCTCGGAAGTGTGGGTTCCGTCGATTTGCTGGGGCGGGGGCCGTGGTCCCCGGGGCCGGGCTGGCGGGACGGGCGCGGCGGGCTCAGCTCTTCTTGCGCAGCTGGCTGTACTGCGCGCGGCCCAGGATGGGCTCCATGACGCTGGGCCGGAAGAAGCTGTCGCTGACCCTGCGCGTGGGCTTCTCGGGGGGCGCCGCCGGGAAGGGCGGGCGCGGCGCGGCGGGCGGGTCGGCCCTGTCCTCGGGCCCCGGGCCGGGGGGCGCGCTCGGGCGCCGCGAGGGGCGCAGGCTGCCGCGGGGCTGCGCGGGGCGCGGCGCGGGCTCCGGGCCGGCGGGCGGCGCCCCTGAGCCCCTGCGCTCCGCCTCCCGGCGCTCGGCCTCGGCCGGCGGGTTGTCGATGTCCCGGAATTCGCTCTCGGGCTCCATCAGCGACAGCCTGGGGAGCTGAGGGCCCGACAGCCGCGTTAGGGCCCCGGCTCGGCCCTCGGGCCTGCGCCTCCCACCCGCCGCCTCCCCGGGGCGGCCGTCCGGGCGCGGCTGGGTCGTAGGACAGGGGCCTCCGGTGCAGCGGGATGGGATGTGCAAGGGAGACCGCTGAGGTTCTGCCCTCTCTGATGGTCTCCAAGGTCCAGACCCCAAGGCAAGGCAGGCAGCCCCTCTCCCAAAATTTCTGGACCCCTCGGGCCTCCCTCAGGGGTCCCTCAGTGGGAGGCCAGTGGCTTTCCTGACCCTTCTTGGGCCTGAGTTGTGGACTACGCACGGCCCACACATGCCCCAGCCAGCGTGAGCATGCTATGCCTGGTCGTGTTTGAGGCCAGGGTGAACAGGCATGCCTCTTGGTGGGAGTGAGTGACTGAGGAACCCATCCCCCTTGCCAGCTCTGAGGGGGCCGCCTGCCCTGCCCAGCAGAACCTGCACAACCTGTAACTTGCTCTGGGAAGGGACCCAGGGACTCCCAAAGGGACAGTATTGGCATCCCTTGGGTTTTTCCTGTTGGTGCTAGGTGACAGAATTGGGATGGGGGCCACTGCTGTCCCCTGGAACATAGCTTCCCTCCTAGGGATGCCCCGGAACCCTCCCTCCACCCCCTTTCCAGGGAGCAGCATGCAGACCCTCCAGGTCCTTCAGGTGCGAGCCAAGAGGGGAGGGCTATTGGGGACCCCAGACTGACAGTGGGAGACCTCTCCACCAGCAGGTGGGAAGGAGGGATGTGGGGAAAGGTCTCAGGCCAGGGCCACGGGGCTCTTTCCTCTTGGGTCTGGGAAAGGCCCAGTCAAGGCCATGGTGTGTCAAAATGTTTCTGGGTCACGAGGATCAGAGGAGGGCCACCAAGGAGGTGGGGGAAAGGAGGGCACCTGTGGCCCATCAGTCACATCTGCGTTCTGTCCTGTCCAGGCCCTGAGGGGGAGGGAGGGTGAACGCGGGAGGGGGGACTCACCGGCACGTAGTGCACCACCGTGTCCACCACGTTGTCAGTAACACCCTTCAGGGCGTCGGACAGCGACATGGCCCTCCCCTTGGTGGAGGAGGCAGGGCGGGCTGGTACGAGGTACAGCACCCTCCCTGCGGTGCCCAGCACGGCTGCAGGGGCCCAGGTCACGGCCGAGATGGTGCCCTGGAGGGCCTTCTGCAGGCCGTGCGCCACACTGCCCAGGAGGCCTTGCGGACTGGGCTGGGCTGCTCCCTGGGGACCAGAGCAAGGTCAGTGCCTCCTGCAGGGACTGCCCTGACCCTTCCCCTCCCCACCATCCCCAGAGCTAGAGGGGAAAGAACGTGGACACCAAAAAGAAAAAACTGTAGGCTTGGCTCTGCCATTAGCTGTGTGGCCTTGGGCAGGTCCTTTGCCCTCTCTGAACCTGTTTCTTCATCTGCAAAATGGGGACGACCATCTCTACCCTGCTTATCTTATGGGGTTGGTGTGAGGCTCAGCTGAGAGAACAGCAGGGAAGGGCTTTGTTAGCTGGGCGTTTGGGGGCGAAGTGAAGAGTGCTGCATCCATGGACCAGGTCCCTGTCCCCTTTCACCCTGGGCCTCTGCTTCTCGCCCCCTCTGGGCTGTGGGACCTTGAGGGTCCTGCATCCCCAGGTAGGCCCCGCTCTCTCCCTCACCTCGCCAAGGTTGTTCTCCTCGGCCTCTGATTCCTCCTCCTCCTCCGTCTCTTCCCCCGCTGTGTCTGCCTGGTCCTCGTGGTCCTTCTCCTGGGAGCCCATGAGGCTGCGCAGCCGGGACACCCGCACCCCGCTCTGCCGCCGGGACACCACCTGCATGGCCGCGGACGCGCCCCACTGCGCCAGACTGCTCTGCGGGAGCGAAGCGGGCAGGCGTCTGGCTTCACGCCCCTGCCAGAGGCCGGCGGGACCAGCAGCCAGAGTCCCTCACCCCCCGGGTCAGGGTGGGGAGGTGAGCAGGGCCTGGCCCCCGCAGACTGTTCTTGAAACTTTTCACTGAGTGATAACTTACGTACACTAAAGTGCACACATCTTTAGGGAACAGCTCTGTGGATTTTTACAGGTACACACCTATGCACCTGCCACAGCTCGAGATAGAGACCATTTTCAACACCCTAGCAGCCTCCCTGGGCCCCTGACCCGGTCAATACCCTCCAGGGGTGACCACATGCATTGGTTTTACCCATGTTTGAACTCCGTACACACGGACTCATACAATGCATGTATTCGTCCATGAAGAGGTTCTTTCCTTCAACATTAGGTTGTGAGATTCATCCATGTTATTACACATTGGAGTGGTTCCTTCTTTTTCATTTCTGTGTAATATTCCATTGCATAAATATACTGCAATTTACCCATTCTACTGTTGATGGGCATCTGTGTTGTTTCCAGTTCTTGGCTAAGGATAAAGCTGATGGAACATTGTTGACGTGTATTTTGGGGGACATAAGCTCTCAATTCTGTTGGGTGGGGTTGCCAGGTCATGGGGGATACGTGGGTTTAGCTTTAGAAGATGGTCCTTGCAGATCTTTAGAGAGTGAGAACACCAGGTGGGCCAGGGTGTCCCGTGGGAGGAGACCCACCTGGGCAGGGGGCTGGCATCCCCTGAGGCACAGCCCGGCTCATCCCAAGCCCCCAGGGAGCCCCACAAAGAAGGCGGCCCTATTATACAATGTCAGGGGACCCTGTTATATTCCACGTGAAGGGTGGCGCCCCTGAGGTTGTGTGGCCTGTGGGCCCTCTTCCCCACGGGCCAGCCCAGGCCGGGGAGTCAGTCTCATTCAGCCCCATTGGTGAGTGACCCCCAGTGCAGGTGACAGAGGGAACTACTACTCCTGTGTGCCCATGGGAACCACAGAACCCGGCACAGCAGCTTCTCAGCAAACACTTGCTGGAATGGACGCACCAGGCCTGACGACACTTTGAAAAGTCTCACCCAAATGATGGCTGAGAGTGGTTATCTTGTTTGCTGGGCTTTATCTTTTGATGTTGTTTTTATTTCTTTTCTTGGCCTTAGTTTCTTATGAAAAGATCCGGGCTATCTCTGCTAAAATACACAGAGAGATGGGGGCGGTGCGCGGGGGAGGTAGCCCCACCTGGGCCTAGAAGAGGCAGCCCTATCTCAGGTGCAGTGGGATGCAAATTAGGAGCCTCTAGAAGGGAGATCAGAAACATGGGGGCCATTAGGGATGTGGCCCAGCTGGGGCTCTTCCCACCAGAAAGGGTTTTGTGCCCTGTTCCTAGACCTAACGTCCCAGCCCAGGCTGGAAGAGATGTTCCCGGGACAGAGGCGGGAGATGGGAGGGACCAGGAGGCCCGCCTGGCTCCCAGGCCTGGGGTCAGTCCACGTGCAGGGCAGACACTCACCAGGGGCGCCACACCAGGGATCCACATGGCCAGGGCGTAGCCCTGCCTCAGCGCCTGGGCTGTGGTCTGGAAGGCGTGCCGAGAGAGGGTGTTGGCCAGGGCCCCAACCCTGCTCACCAGGCTGGCCTTGGCCTTGGGAGGCTCCTGGGCCTGCTGGTGTCCTGGGGCAGCGGCTGGGTGGGAGTTTGGGACAAAAGAAGGGAGGACAGGTCAGAGAGGGGCTGGGGCAAGCCGGTGGTGTCTAGGGTTGGGAAAGGGTTGTCCTGGCTCCACCACAAGCTTGCTGGTGACTTGAGCAACTGGCTTCCCCACTTACAAATGTGGAGGGGGCTAAATGAGGTGAGATCCATCTGAAAAACCCACCCGCCGGGCCTCCCCTGTGGGATGAGCACTTGTCGATTTTGCTAATTCCCATGCAACAGAGGAGGCCAACTCGCTCCCCAGGGCGGGTCTGCCGGCCCCCTAGTGGCAGATACCTGACTCTTTCTCCGCTGGCGGGAGGAGGAACTCAACAACCTTCTCAATGCCGCCCAAGGCCAAGTCGGCCCCTCCAGAGGCCAGCCGGCCCGCTCGGGTGTTGGCGGCATATTCGGCAGTGTCTTTGGCCACCCCCCAAGCGAGCTCACAGCCGGCCAGAGCGGCCTCCAGGACCTTGTCCGAGGTGCTGGCAATGGGGACGCTGATGCTGTTCCTGGCGCTGCGAAGGCGGGTGGAGATGGTGTCCTTCAGCTCAGAGGCGATCTGGGGGAGCGGGAAGGAGGGTCAGGCACGTGGGTCTGGTGGGCCCTGAGCCCAGCTTCCAGGAAGGCAATATTTGGGCACCTGGATTAAGCTGAGCTTTAAAGGGAAAGGCTCTGACCCGCCCTGTGCTGACCACCCAGACACTGGCCTCTTTGCCCCGTTTCCGCCTGTCAAGATCCTAACCATCCTGTGAGGATGCCCCAAAGGCCATCTCCTTGATGACGCCTATCCTGATACCCTCCTGCAGAGGAGGCATCTCCTCTTCTACATCCCTCTGCTGTGTCCTCCATCCTTCCCTCAGAACACCGTGCACACGCCCGTCTGCGTTTATATTGCTTTATAGACGTGGGTGATCTTCCTGCAAGTTCTGCCCTGGGGACATCACTAGTTTGCTCAGTTGTAAAATGAGGATAAGCACCTGGTCCCAGAGGATGAAGTGAGAGGGCTCCCTAAATCACGAGCTGCGGCCCCGCGTGGGGCAGGGCTCAGTGGGATGGATAAGTAGGAGATGGAGGCTTATTCCCCAGAAGCACCTGACACGGCCCTTTCCAGCGCAGATACCCAGTGAATGTACAGCCAAGTGAAGTGCTTTTTCCAGGCTTATGGCCCGTGAAGGGCTGGCTCTTAAGGACATGGGCCTGCAGTCCTGCGGTCTGAGGAGTGTGACCCATCTCTCAGGTGGCTGTAGTTGTCAGGTGGTCCTGTGCAGCCCCCTGGGGGGTCCTGGTGGATGGGGTATCAGGAGCAGTGGGACCCACCCCAAGCTCCTGTTCGAGTTTGCCTCTGGGCTTGTGCTGCTGGTCCCCAAAAGCCTGCCTCCGTGTGGCCCCCAGGAGGAGGAAGGGGCACATTGCCTGGCCTTAGGGGCAGCCCTCCCCACAGAAATGGAAGACGCACGGTTACAGCATCGTCAGCTCGCGCCCTCTCCTTCCTCCAGAGGCAGTGACGACAGAGTGTGGGGCGTGGTGGAGGAGAGGGAGGGGCTCACCTTTTCAGGAGGGTACTGGAGGGCTGGGATCTTCTCCTCCAGGTGGTCCAGGCCTCGGCAGGCCAGCTCGTTGGCAGCTGTGACTGGAAGAGAAGGGCCATGGGGGGTGAGCCCTGCCTCCACCGTGAGAACTAGCAGTGCCCTCTGTGCCAAGGAAGGTGCCCGGGAGCCCTCAGACCCCCAGCCCTGCTGCCTCCAGAGCAGCTCGGGACCTGAGGCCCTCTGCACCTTTAGCCCGTGCAGAATCCTCAGATACGCCTATTTCTCTAATGAGATCTCTAATGAGATGGTGGGAGGTCCTAGACTTCTTAGTGCTGCTGGAATTTCCCGCGGGCCTGTTAAGAGCTGTGCCTTGGAGGCATATTTTCAAATGGGCAGAACACTTTGAACAGGGCAGGTCTGGTGAGGTCCTCATGGACCCTTGTCCTCCACCTCCAGGGCTGGTAGCTCTCTGTTGCCCCTGCCAGTCAAGAGCTGGTACCACCAGCTGCTGGGCCCAGAGGGATTCCCCTCACCCTCTCTCCAGCCCTGCCAGGCCCACACTAGTGCCCACTGCCCCTGCCTCTGTGCCAGACTCTGCTGGTTCCTGCGGATGCTGATGCTGGATTTGGAGCTAAAGTGGGTGTCTGGTCTGCCACGGGCCCCATTCCCACCACTGCCCACATAGCTCTGCCCATCCCTTCCCCTTGCCAATTCTTTGGCCCATCATTGCTATCCTAGGAAAATGTCAGCTGGGCTCTAGAGGAGGCATCTATAGATGAGATCTCTATCTATATCCACATCTACATCCATCCATATCTGTAATGAGAAGACCAAGTCATGAGATGTAGGCAGTCAGGCAGACAGGTAAAAAGGCAGACAGACAAGCAAGCTATCAGATGACCAGATAGACTGACAGGTGGACAGACAGACTGGCAGGCAGGCAGTGAGCATTGGTGAAAGGGCAGGCAGCCTCCGAGCGCCACGAGGACTCACACTGGGTGGACAGCCTGCGCACCACTGGCTCCATGCTCCAGGCCGCCAGGCTGCCGGCGCCCTGCACGCCCTTCTCGTAGGCATTGCACACAGAGGCCACCAGGGGGTGGGCTTCCTTGGTGCTGGTGTAGGTTTTCTGGAAGCACGCGCAGGTGCCGCTCACCACCGGCAGCTGCAGGACCCGCTGCAGCACGTTCTCCTGCTCCTGGCGTGGAAGGAGGAAAGGCATTCAGCTTGTCCGCCCTCTCTCTCCCACCTCCCAGGAGAGTGGGCTGAGGGTCACAGAGCCCATTGGTGGGGCTAGCCAGGGTCCAAGTGACCTAGGAGGGACCCAGGCCAGCGAGGTCTCTGGATGCCCACAGGAAAAACAAGAGCCAGCCTTCCATGCTCTCCTGGTCACAATCCAGGCTTTGCAGAGCTGCTGAGGCCATCTCCATCCTCCAGGGGCCTTCCAGCCCACCCCTGGTAGAGAGCAAGCATGTCAGCATATCTGTCTAGAGTTTTCGTCCACCTTGGATTGGTGGCTTCATCTAAACGTTTCTGTGGTCTTTCTGGGACACTGCCTCCCCGCCTGTGCATGCTGTCCCACTGCCCAGAATGCTCCCCTCCCCTCCCATGGCCTTCTGTCTGGTGAGATGCCATCACTTCTTCTGCAAAGCTTCCTGACTCTCCTCCCTCACATCAGAAGCCACCGCTTCCTTTCCTGGGCTGTCTCCAGCTTCGTCACATGGTGCTGCGATCATGTGCGTACTTGTCTCTCGCCCGGGAGACTGTCATTTCGGTGTTTTCAGGACCTCGCCTAGAGCCTGCACAGTAAGGTCAGTTGAATAAATGCAGCACTGTCAGGGCTGCACCTAGCAGAAGGCGTAAGTTCAGAACCACAGAATCTTAGTTCTCCAGGGGCCTCTGCAGCAAGGCTTCTTCCCAGAGCGTCTCTGGTCGGCCTGTATTCAGACGTCTCCATGGATGCAGCTCACCCCTCACAGAGTGACCTGTGCCCCTCATTGGACAGCCCTGCTGAGCTGAAATCTGCCTCTGCCCTCTGCTCGATCCTCTGCCCTCTGGAACAACACTGAGCAAATCTATTTCATCATTTGTGGGCTGGCCCTTCGCATATTTGAAGGCAAATGTGTCTCCCTTTAGTGGTCCCTTCTCCTTGCTAAATAGCTCCAGTTCCTCACTCAGCCTACAAACTGCTCAGCACACTCGTCTGTGATCCCCTCCTCTGGGCACGCTACACTTTGGTGTTGCCTTTCTTAATAATAACGAAACTTCAGGTCACGTAGGAATCTTAGTGAAGAAACACTAGTCTTTGAGTAAAAGAACGTGGACTCTAGCGACACAGAGGGAAACATTTACTCAGTGCCACCATGCTCCAGCTCTGATGGGGTGCTTTGGTGCACATGACCCCATTTAATTCTAACGGCAACCCTCTGAGGTCAGCATTATCACCACCACTTAGCCGAGGATGAGGCAAAGACTCAGAGACATGAAGTGACTTAGCCAAGATCACACAGCTAGTAAGTGGCAGAGCCAGGATCCAACTCAGGCCTGAAATGGCACATCTGGGATTTGCTCCAAAATACCACAAAGGGGGGGAATGGATGGGGGTGAGGATGAGGCGGGATCGGCCATGGATTCGTGGTTGTTGGGCCAGTGAAGGGTATCATAGTCTTCCGTCTACTCTTACAAATGTTAAGAATTCTCCACATAAAAAGTAAAAGGAGAAAACTCCCCCGGTCTGACTCCCGCTCGCTCGAGCTCTCTCTGTAGCTTTGAATATGCCGCTGTCGCAGGTTCTGCCCTGGAGGCGAAGACCCAGCCTCTTCGGTTCGTAGGAGGCTGAGTCAGAAGACTCGCTGGACAGCAGGCTGCAATAGTCTAGCTTTTTGTCTTGCAGGTGAGTTTGAAATTTGAACTGAAAAAAGATTATGACCGTAAACAAGAAAACCTCTTCTTGAACATTTTGGACAGAGACTTCAGAGTTGTTTCAGGCAAAGCTAAACAGGGAGGGAGGTCCCAGGAGGGAATAAGCCACCATCCGTCAGGATGGCTTAACTGTGCACTTGACCATTTTATGCTTCTCCGTGTTCTATGATTCGATACAGAACTTGCCACGGCGATTCCTAGTGCAAAAGTTAGTTAAAGCCTAACAGGACAAGGTTGGTATTGTATGGGTTCACAATTTTTAAGTTTCACTGTTTGAACTGTGCCTAAATCAGAGAGGCCTCGCCAGGAGGCATCAGATACACCTAAGAGTGTCAAACCACTCCAAGTCACAGTGAAAACCAGGCCAGACCCACACCACTGGACACACTGCCCTCCAACCCCTCCCCACGTACAGCTGCAGGGGCTGTGCACTGTGTAACTCCAAGAGGTGCCATTTACATGGACTACGACATGAACGATGGCCCTGGACTTACAGAGTGCCGTGGCTCAGGACTGGGCACTCTCTGCCTGGGTACACAGAGCGTGGCTTCCGCATCAGGGCTTAGAGTACAGTAGGCCCCTTCCTGTTCTTTCCCTCCCAGCCAGTATTTCTGTCCTTTTTCTCCAAGGTGCTTAGTTTTTAATAGGCATCCTCCCCCCCAGATCCTCTAACAGCCCCCTGCAAAAGGAAGTGAGGGCAACAATAACTAGGACACGATGGTCAATGATCTACGACTTTAATCTAGATGTATCTTGTTCTGCCTCCCCTGACCCTGCCCTCCCTGTACCCCCGACACCCTCGGTTGTCCACCCCGTCCCCTATCAGCCCACATTACTCACAGGAAGGTCTCCCTCCAGCAAGGCCGGGTCCTTGTTCACTGCCATTGTAGCTCTTGAAGCTGCAAAGCAGAGGGCCCGTCAGAAAGCCCTCAGCCTGAGACCCACAGGGTCAGTCCCCTACCTCTCATGGCCACCAACTGGGCCCAGGCTGCCCGGGAGCTCAAGATTCCTGAACAGAAGGCATTAGGTTGGAGGGTAAATATCTTGGACAAGTGGCCACTCCTTCGAGTCCCCCAGGGATGAGTTGCCCCACAGCCTACTTGTCAAGACTGATGTTTCTTACAAGGGTTCAGGGTAAGAAATGAAAAATGAAGGTAGCTTTGAGAGATATGAGGTTTTAGATGAAGTCGAGGGGCTTTTAGATGAGAGTCCAAAAGAGACTAAAAGACTAAGTTTCAGATTTAGTCTTTTTTTTAATGAAAAAGTTCTGTGTTGATTCCTCTTTTTAAGGAAGCATATCCACCAGTCCTTCCCTCTGGCTCAACCAGGTGAGAAACAGTCACTCTTAAAACCAGCTATTTCAGCTGCGTTCTGGCAAAGGTGGTGGCCCCAGAGCACCTGCTCTGCGCTCTTGGTCGTTCACCTTGAGTAACCTCTCCTCAGCGGTCTCCCTGTAGCCCTCTTCATCCTCAGTAAAATTCCCAGGAGACCCTCACCCTCAACTTCTTCCCTTTAACTCAGAAACAAGCCAGGGAAGGCAGACGTTCCAGGACCCTCACACTCACTCCGGCGGATGCTGCCTCCGTCCCTCTGAGCCCAGGCCGCAGAGCGTGTCCTCTGGCAGAAGCGATCCCAGGAGCTCTAGGGAGCCTTGGACAATGCTACTGACACCTCCCAGCGAGAGGAGGGCAGAGAGGAAGAGAGAGCTGCTCAGCTGGTTGCCATGGTTACTTGACCCAGGGTCCCCTGGGCATATCCTAACTTCTGTAAGGAGATTTAGCCAACTAGGCGGTGGATCGCAGAGCTGGAGGCCCAGGCTCGGAGTTGCTATTCCGGAGCCATGAAGTATCAGTTCTGTAACATATTTCTCAAAAAATCTGTTTTCCAGAAAGAAGGTGTTGGGATATTTGTCACTAAACTCGTAAGCTCCAAAGTTCTATAATCTTTGGCTCCTTTTCCACAGAAGGTCCTGTGGGACCATTTTCAACCTATTTCCCTCATCACTTACTATCTACTGTCAAGAGGGAATTTTGAACAGTAAGATTTAAACCTGAACAGAGTTCACCTAAACGTACTACCCTTTGATTATGAAGATAAAGTGCTCTCAGTGACAAAGAGAAGCGGAGCTGGGGGTTGACTCCTTAACAATCTTGCCTCTGGGGGAGGAATTTCAACCTCTGTAAATTCCTAGATCTCAAGAAAGTTTACGGACCTCTACCTGGTCTAAGATGCCACCAGAACATGCAGCAAGAAAGCCAACCAGATTTTGTCTGGTCTGGAAAAGGGACAGTGTCGACCAAGATTTTGTTACATCGACAGCATCCAGACAACCCAGGACCGTCAACTCCCAACCCTTTCTTAGCATCAAGTCGGGCAGGAGCCCAAATTCTAATCAGCGGCTTCAAAGGTGATGGACGACTGTGGTGTAAGCCATGGTTTCCGGCTGTCGAAGGAGGGCCTTTTAATTCAAATGGGTAATAGGAAGACACAACCTATTTTCCTTCTTGGGAGAACTCTATCTATTGTTACCTCTCTACTGAGTTGTACGCTGTGGGCAATGGGAGGAAGAGGCGAGGGGTGGGGAGAAATGGAGCTTTATGGCAGATCCTTGGGAGTCAATTCTGTTTCTGTGATATAATAAACCAGGCAGTGAGGAGTCAGGAAAGGGAGGGGAGGCAAGCAGGGAGCCCCCAAAAGGAGTAATAAAAATGCGATGCATTTAATATTAACCCAACCTAGACTTTTAAAATATAAGACAGTAATGGAGAGGAAGGGAAGTATACAAAGAAGTGGCCTCTGCCCTCAGAGGACAAATTATCCATGCAGCTGTGTGTGGAACGCAACCCGGGCCAGAGGGCAGTTTAAGCAACTGGAGGAAGGGCTTTGCGCCAGAGGGAGCACAGGGCTCTGTGCCTGAAAGCTCTGCTGACAAAGCTGGTCCTTTGGCCGCTTCAGCTGGGAGTCCAGAATGTGGGTGAGAGGTGAAAAGTGGTGAAAGGGCCCAGGAGAGTCCCTCGGCGGCAGTCCGTTTCCCAGCAGCTTGAAGGACACAGAATTATCTTCTTTCTTCCCCATCCCTACCTGCCTCCCCCGCCACCACTGCATGAGCACAGGGCCCTCAGTCATCTTGGGCACAAGTGGATCCCAAAACTAAGCACGGCACTCAAACATTCGTTGTTGAATAAATAAATTCTCGGGCAACAATGCTCAGTGGCAAAAGTGCTGGCCTGTACTCTGTTAGGGACGTCTTTGGTTTCTAGAGTCCCTCATGACTGTGGTGGCTCGGAAGTGGGGATAGTTAGTTAAGAAGGAGAAAGATGCACAGGGAGGGAGCTACCAGGGCACCACTAAGGTTTTCACGAACTAGAAGAGGTGGCATTTCCCAAACTCCCCACCACCCACCCTAACTTGCAGAAAACAGAAGTACCAGGATGGACACCACCGTAAGGTGCCACCGCGGATTCAAGGCCGACTTCTCCAGGCAGAAGGCAACGCCCCACCCACAGGGCTGACTGAGAGGGCCCTCTCTGGGGCAGCAGCCTGGATGTGTTGTCTTAGAGGTCTCCTTCAACCCAGACGTTCTACGTCTAAATCTTTCTTCATCCTCCTCCTCACACTGGATCTTCCCGGCGAGAACTCATTTTCCCAGAGCTCACCCTACCAACTGGGTAGACTCTGATTAAGACTCTCTCTGGATCACCTCACCTTTAACTCTTCTCCATTCCCAGAACACATTCACAGACACACGAGTCAATTTTGTCTAGAAATTTATTAGACATAATTAATCTACTACAGTACAGGATCTGGACAAAGTAAAAATAGTTATTAAAACTTTCTATTTGCCCTGATCTAGCAGCTTTCATTTCTCTTAAAATCCTCAAAATGTTCTTTCTCAAAAACCGTGTCTTGATGGATCACTTTAAAAATAAAGAGCCAAGGACCTAAGTCTCAATGACATTTACGGGAAATTTATTTAGCGCACGTTTCTTTTCTCATTTCCACTCAGACAAATGAGATGGCTTTACCGGGAGGGCTGACGTATGCCTCCGACCCGATGGTATCCAATTTCTCTGCTTGACTTCCCTCAAATTAGAGGATCTGTAATCACAAATAAGAACCCAACACCCAAGACGGGAAGGAGGAGCACAGTGAGTGACTGTCCTCTTCACTGGCCCCTTACTGCCCCTGTCCACCCCCCCAACCCATCCACGCACAGGAAGTTTGATTTATCATAGAAAATTCTGACCCTCCTACATTGAGAGTGCCCATCAAATTTTTTAACCGCATAAATTTTTATGAAACTTAATGTAGAAATGCCCAAACTGTTATATGGCTTTAAATAAAACAATCTAGCTGATACGTCTAGGTATAGTCTTAACTTTTGTAGAACAGAATACAAACCACTGACTCACAAAGGTTCTAAAAAAGGCTTTTCGCACAGGATTCTGGGGAGTCTCACAATGCCACGCGAGCAGGAAATACCATGCAGAGACCACTGGGTTGGGAGTTAGAGGAATGAGGTTCTGGCCTGTTTTTTTAACGTTAGCTTCCTCATCTGTCACAGGCTAACCAGAGGCACCTGTTTTGACCTTCCACATTATTTTTACCTCAAGTCCTTTCTATCTGCTTCTGATTCTACTTCTGGACAGAAGGACAGGAGTGCAGTGATGGAAGGGCCAGCAATTTCAGAGGCTACAAGCCCAGCTCCCCTCCAGCCCGGCACTGGCATCTATGGAGGAAGGCAGGTAACTGATCAGAGGAATAAGGGGCCTCGACCGGATCTGAGAGACGGCTGTGCATCAGACCTACTGGATTCGTGCAAAAGCAGTGAGGCACACAGCCCAAAAGTCACTGCACATTAGTGCTCACTTGTTAGTCTGGGCCTTTTTCAATTTTTTTCTTTCAACTTTTATTCATTCAGCAAACACTAAGTGCATAAGAGATGATCAATAGATGTTACATGAAGGGAAAATACTCAGAAATTCAGAAGACACTCCAGCCCTTGAAATAACATACATAAATCTTCATGCTCTCCCCTTCTCCATTCTTGCCCCACCTCTGCTCACTTCGCAGGTCACTAAACGCTCACGTGAACAAGTCGTTAAGCACAGTGCGACACGGCCTGTGCCTAATGCAAACGTCCATTCCGCTAAGAGGTCACCGGTTAAAGCAGGTCCCAGTCGTCAGCCTGAAACCACCTCAGTGGGTCTTCAGCTTCATCTGCGGATATGCCACCGTGATGATGCCTGCTATAGAGGACACGAGACATCCAAGGCCAATGAGGCCAGGATTGGACTTATAGATCCCCAGCTGGTCCAGAGGGTTCAGGATGTCACAGACGTTCTTCACCGTGTCCAGGAGCAAGGGAGGATGCTTCTTCAGAGACCGGAACAGGAGAAGGAGAAAGGACTGCAGCCACTCTGTTTCCTCATCAGCCACGCTGTACCCCAGAGGAACCTGGGATGATGATTCCTCCCTCTTTGCCCTGTCGTGTGCAACCTGTTCCATCTGCAGGGAGATTTCATACAGGTCCCTGAGCAGGCTCAGCAGGACAGAACAGCAGTAATGGCGGGCAGCCCACATTTGCCATTTCTCTTTGTTAACGCCAGAGGCGAGCCCCACGCTCCTCACCCAGAGGACGGTGTCACAGATGAAATAAATCACACGGTTCAGGTTGGCTAGCGTTAGGCAAAAACGGGGCACCAGGTCAGCGGCGTGAATGCTCTGCTGAGTTGCCTGCACAGCGTGTACCACGTTGCCCAGTCTGAACCCTGCAAGAAGAACCCGCGACAGTTACTAATTACTTCATAAGTATGTAACAGGAAGGCAGAATCCCTGTATGAGGGTGAGAAGCCAGTGCTGGTTTAACAGCTGGCTGTCGCTGAGGCTCAGTCTTTGCTCAGGAAAGGAGAAGGACGTTACAGTGTGTTAAGGACACCAAAATGATCTGGAAGGCAAAAAAGACAGTGATTCTTTAAATTTATCACCTCCATTCCAGTGAATGCCCTAACGTTGACTTACAACACACTTCAGGCAAGATCAATCATGAGTGTGAATTGTTACATTCAATCACTCAATGTTACCACCCACGCTTCTTTAGAAGGAAGGTACTATGATAACATGACCTCCAGACGCAACATGCTTGTGGAGTGTCTGAGGCTTTACATTTTATTTACTTTCCAGACAAAAGATCACTTTTTAAAAAAGCACCATTATCATTTTGCCATTTTCTGGTCCAAATCCCTTTTGGCTCCCTACTGTCAAGAAGACCAAGTAGAGATGGTAGGATTTAGTGGATATGACAATTAATATTGTCATCTGTGACTCCTGGTTGATTGAATCAATCATTGCAGGGCAGGTCCTTATCTAAGCAGGTAATTCAATTACTCAGGGAGGCATCAATCAACTCAGAGTGAGTCATAGTACTAAACACTACGGAGGACAAAAAATAAGTACTTTCCTTAAAGGACTATGTCTTAAGACTCAGCAAATGCTCAAAATTAGCTATCTCAGGAAACCTACAATCTCAGAAGAATGTTTGATATTATTTTGTCAAAAATAACACAAAACAGAATATGTAACAAATAATGGCTGGTTCTAGGTCTGGCTCTTGCACTAACTGGCTGAGTGACCTTGGGTTAAGTCCTTTCTGGACTTCAGAGACTAGTGACCTCTAAAGGACCTTTGCGCTCCAACATTAAGAATCTGAGAACAACTAATCCTGGTCTTTGAAGCCATCCAGAAACACTTACTCAACCTTCCCATCCTGCTGCCTGACAGCCTAAGTCTTCTCTCCGTCAAACTAATTTCCTCATTGATCCTTCAATGCAATGGTTTGCTCATAACAGTTCTGAAACTTCACCAGAGGACACCGCCCTTCAAGAATGCTCTCCTTCCTTCTCTCTCTAGCCACACCTCAAGTTCCACCTCTTCCAAAACACCTTTCTTTTCCTCTACCCCAGCCAACATATCTGGTACTAAATCTTACCATCTTATTTGTCCATGTGAACTGAGTTCTCCCAGAAAGCTCAGGACTATACCTATATGAAGTAGGTGCTCAAAAATAATTGATCAACATCTGATTTCTACATTCCATTCTAACACCTCTACTTACCTACTGTAGCAACATATTGTTCTCATCAAACAGCTAGGAGTCAGGCATGCAACTGTTCTTATAAGTATGGGATTTTCCAGTATGCTTTATTATTAAAGTGAACGAAATGAGTGCAGAACACTGACTTCACTTTTTGCCTTTAACATGAAACCACCCCAGAAATGGTCTATTAAAATGTATCCATCCATTTCCTCTAGCAATCCCTCAAGAGAGGAAGAGGGAAAGACAAGAGGTCCGAGATAAAGCTATTCTGTTCTTCTAGGGAATACAAAGCGCTCCCAGGAGCCAGAAGCTCATGTCAGGGATTGCCAAAACATTTTGTGATTGTAAGAACTAAAGAAGAGGGGCCAGCCCAGTGGCTCAGTGGTTAAGTGTACATGTTCTACTTTGGCGGCCCAGGGTTCGCCTATTCGGATCCCGGGTGCAGACATGGCACCACTTGGCAAGCCATGCTATGGCAGGCATCCCATGTATAAAGTAGAGGAAGATGGGCACAGATGTTAGCTCAGGGCCAGTTTTCCTCAGCAAAAAGAGGAGGATTGGCAGCAGATGTTAGCTCAGGGCTAATCTTCCTCAAAAAAAAAAAAAAAAGAAAAGAAAAAGAACTAAAGAACTGACACACTGTACATCCCAGGGGTTATGATTAATCAGAAAGATACAGTGTAGCAACAAATGTGAACACAGGAGAGTGTGTGTGAATAGTCTGAAGCAAAACATTCAACCTTTCCGGCCTACGGTTCCATGACGGCAGTCTTACCAGTCGACTTCATCAATAAACCTGGCTGACTAGAAATTAACAATCTAGAAAGTATCTTGTGAATTACAGTGTCTGAGGATTCTACGCCAGGAGCCACTGTCCCTCAAGAGACAGGGTACTTACATTTACGGCCAGTGCTCACACTGGACTCCAGTTTCTTGAGCTTCATTACCACCTTCTCTTTGCCAGCTTTAGGCTCTAACAAATATCTAAGCAACATGCATGTGTACTGAGTAGCTCTGAAATGGAAAAAAAATGAGGAGAATGATTTACAAACCAAACAAAACTTGATTCATGAAGTAAGGGAAGGAGAGACATGTTTTGCTAAAGCTAAAGTTACCGACACTATTTCTCATGTAAGCTCTTACGAGAGCAAAGTTCTGCAATAGTCATCCACAGGGCCAAAGGGTAGGACATGTGACGGAAATGCAACACAAAGGTAACGAAGAGAACCACAACAATACAGTGAGGAGCCTTCAAAAGGCCTTCTGCTGGCACAGAGAAATGGATATAGTCAAAGCGGTAAACTGCACACGAATCTACCTCGTGTTAAGTCTGCAGAGTTTCATAATCTTTATTTTCTCCAGTGTAGAATGATTTTTCAGATTTATTTTTATCATGTAGTTAATCAACTTCTCATGTGACAGGACACACACTCAAACCAGAACCAAATGAAAAATCCACAGTTTGAAAATTGCTTAACATTTTATAAAAGGACCAAATACACACCAACACATAAATAAGTATAGATATGTCTTTATGTGTCTTTCAAAACAAATTAGCATTTTATATAAATGCGTCTAAAAACAAGGCATTATTTATGAGTGCCAGTTTGTTCACATAAGCAATAGATCACCAAGGGGATTGGGAAATGAATACCAGAGATCTCAGATCTTGCTGAATAAGGATATCCAAAACAATTATTTTACTAACCAATCTTGTTGATAAACCTAGCAGGGTACGTTCTGTGTACACTGGGATTGTAGGCTTCTATTTTAATGAAGCTGTATATAATGCAACCATTTTTAAAATCTACCAAATTAATTAGAAAGGTAGTTTGTCTGGGTAGTTAAAGAGGTACGCCCTGAAGTCAACCGTGTGGATTTAAATCTCTCAGCTCTGCCACTTAGTACCTACAAATCTTTTGCTTTAGTTTCCCATCTGGGAAATGGGGATGATTTAAGCATTGCCCTCACAGGGTTGTGAAGCGGGTTAAGCGAGTTAACAGTTGTAAGACACTGAGAACAGTATCTGGCATGAAGTCAGCTTCCAAAAGTATCATCGCAGCTATTCTTACTGGTCTGTTTGCATTACCACCTGCACAGCCAGAAGAGGAGGAAAGGCTGTTAAACCAAACTGCACCATCCTTTCTCATTCTTGAGCAAGCATCAACCAAATTTCTAAAAGAAACATCATGAATTAATTGTCATGAAAGCCACCATAGCCGGTTACCAGGCGGTGCAGTCAGCGCCTCTCGAGCTCTCCGCAATGGATCTCGCTCCCAGTTTACATACTGTGCCCCGTGCCGCGTCTCATCGAGGGGGACGCGGCCGCCCGGGAAGATAAGGAAGATAAATGAGATTCCCGACTCTCCACGAGCGTTTCACGGGGTACTGGAAGCCACAACCCAGCGCTCGGCTTTCCCCAGACACAAACGCCAAACCCAAGCCTGTGTCTCTTACAGGAACCTCCTGGGAGGACCTGAGCGGAGCCCCCCGCCTGCCGCGGGCCCGGGCTGCCGACGAGGGGCGGCGGCCGCCGGCGCGGACTCACCTGAAGAGTCGGTCCCGGCCCTGGGTCTGGTTGCTGAAGCGTGTGAAAGCGTCCATAGCACCCAGCCCAAAGGCCCGCGGGCCCGGGGTTCGGGGCCCAGTGCCCAGTGCGTCCGCGCGCCGCCGGTCCCCGCCCCCGGGGGCGGGCGCACTTCCTGAGAGCCGCCTCCAGGGCTTCCGGTCTGGACCGGAAGTGGTGGTTACTAAGGCGACGCCAAGCTGCTGGCCCAGGTGAGCGAAACCTCGGCTTCCGCCCTAGGGTGCAGCGGCTCCCCACGTGTCCGGGGCCCCCCTCCACGTCTGGGGTGTCCTAGAGGGGGCTCTGAGGGGGTCCATCTCCCCAGCCTCAGGCATTCCGGGGCGCCCCGCGCCTCCCCTCCCCGCAGATCCCGGTGCCCAGCTTCCCAGGTGCATCCCCGAATGGCGATTCCCCTGAGCTTTTGCTTGGGGACGGCAGAGCCTAATCATTTCCCAGTTCTGTGCCTCTGTTTCCCTCGAGCAGCACCAGCTCCAGGTCTGCGGAATGAAATGGTTAGAGCAGAGAGAAACCGATTTGTGGAGTGTGTTTCTAGCTTGAGAGCCGGGTAAAGTGAGGGAAATTTCTGTTAGGATTATTGAGTACTGAAAGAAGATTGATACTTGAGGAAATCCTGAAAGGGTTATCGTGAACAACGTGGGGGCAAAAGTAGATGACGGTGAAACTGCACCACTGAAGTCCTTGTGTGGGACTTGAAGACACGGGGCCCCACCCATTCCGTAGCAGTAATTTTATAAAATGTGCCCCTATAATCACAAAGTAAGGTCATCTATTTTTGTAATCTTTATTCCCCTCGTGAGGCCTGCCCCTAACATTTGCAGGCCTGGGGTAAGAGTACAAATAGAGACCCACATATCATAGGTTTAAATATTTAGAAGTTTTAAATCAAGGTAACAAATTGTTAAGTAAAATATGTTCTGTTCTCCTACCTTGTGAAATATACAGTCATAATGATCTAGAAGTCCAGCTTCACATTCAGAATTCTTGAGCTTCTTGGAATCCCTGGGAAAACAGCTGGAATGTGGTACTGTGGGGAGAGCTGGTCCCCAGTCCTTTCCCACCCGCTCTCTTCCCATCTTTGGCTCCCAGCTATATCACTGAGAGGGACCCTGCTTACAATGTGTGGATACTTCGAGACGCACCCAAGTTTTGCCCGTACTCCTGCAAACAGCCATGCCTTGGCCACCTTTCAGGTCTAGGGGTGCACACCTTAGCAGCTGGTCTGCCCTCAGGAGAAAGCTGAGAAGGAGATTCATGCAGATCCTGACATCATTTGGGCAGTAAATTCCAGGTCTATAGGAACCCTGAACATGGTCTAGACTCCAGAAAGTGGTATCTAGGCTTCGGGTGGGTATATCCTCTTGACCTCACGAATTAGTCATCTTTTGCAGAGAGAAGTGCCTGGAAGCCATCCAGAAGTGTTTTCTAAGTTCACGTCCCAGGTCAGGGCAATACTGCAAGCAATGAGAATTTCTCAAGTGCTGGCCACTGTGCTAAGCTCTAGGCCTAGGGTAATAGACTAATGAGGGACACAAATAAATAGAAAAGTACAACACAGTGATGTGTTAGATGATAGAGATGAGCACAGGGTGCTTCTAAATATGGATTTATATAGTCTGTTTTCTATACCTATAATTCTGCCTTTTCCACAAGATCATATAAATTGAATCAAATATAGCATGTAGTTTTTTCTGATATCTTTCACTAAGCATAATGCGTTTGAGTTTCATCCATGTTGTGTATATCAGTAGTTTGTAATTTTTTATTGCTGAGTAGTATTCCATTGTATGGATGTACCATAGTTCATGATTTTCATATGAAGCGTAAGTCTTAATTTTTCTTGTGTAAGTATGTAAGAATAGGATGGCTGAATCATGTGTTAGGTGTATGTTCAACTTTGTGAGAGACAGCCAAATTGTTTTCCAAAGTCACTGTACTAGTTTGTATTCCCACTGAATATGAGATGTGAATGTGTGGGAGTTTATCTGTTCACCTATTGATAAACATTTGGGTTGTTCGAGTTTGTAACTCCTAACAAATAAAGCTGTAATGAACGTTCATGTCCCGGTTTATGTATGGACATATGTTTTCTGTTCCCTTCCATCACCGCTAGCTGTAGAAGGACTGGTTATTGTGGTTGGTGTATGTTTAACTTTTTAAGAAACTGTCAAACTGTCTTCCAAACCGATTGTACTGTTTCACTTTCCCAAAGTGGCTGGAAGAGTTCCAGTTTCCCCACGTTCCCAAAAACGCTTGGCAGGGTCTATCTCCTCAACATTAGGCATTCTAATACGTGTAGTGGTGTCTCACTGTGATTTTAATAAGGACGTCGAACATCTTTTCATGTGCCCATTTGCCATCTGTATATCTTCTTTGGTTAAGTGTCTGTGCAAACCTTTTGCCCGTTTTAAAAAACTGGGTTGTTTCTTCTCTTATTACTGAGTTTTAAGAGTTTTTGAAATATTCTGGACACGAGCACTTTATCATATATATGACCTGCAAATATTTTCTCCCAGTTTGTGGACTACCTTTTATTCTCTTAACAGTGTCTTCTGAAGCACCTAAGTTTGTTTTTGAAAGGTTTAAATTATCCACTTATTCTTTTGTAGATTCTACTTTAATGTCATATCTGGGAAGTCTTTGTCTAACGAAAGATTGTGAAGGTTTTCTTCTAGAAGTTTTGTGGTTTTAAATTTTATGTTGAGGTTTATGATATACTTTGAGTTAATTTTTGTATATGATGCAAGGTATGTGTGAGAGTTCATTTTTTTCCATATGGATATCTAATTGATGCAGCATTATTTATTGAAAGGCCTATGCTTTTTCCACTGAATTATCTTTGCACCTTTGTCAAAAATAATCTGTCTATATATGTATGGGTCTAATTCTGTACTCCCTCTTTGGTTTCATTGATCTCTTTATCGATTTTGACGCCAATACCACACTGTCTTGATTACTATGGCTAATACCACACTGTCTTGATTACTATGGCTTCATAATAAGTCTTGAAATAGGTGGCATAAGTCTCCTAATTCTGTCCTCCTTTTTCTAAGTTATTTTGGCTATTCTAAGTACTTTGCATTTCCATAGGAAGTGTAAAATCAGCTTCTTAGTTTCTAAAACCTAAAAATGCCAGGTGGGATTGTCACCGGGATTGTGTTCACTTTATAAAGCAATTTGGGGAGAATTGACGTCTTAACAAAATTGAGTCGTCTGTCCTATGAATAAGGTATTTCTGTCCATTTATTTAGGTCTTCTTTTATTTCTCTCAGCAATATTTTACAGCTTTCACTTGTGTACATCTTTTGTCAGATTTATCCCTAAGAATTTCGTATTATTGAGACTGTTTTAAATAGTATTTTTTAATTTCAATTTTTGGTTGTTTGTTGCCAGTATATAGAAATAATAGGTTTTTGTATATTGAACTTGTATCGTGCAATCTTGCTAACCTCATTTATAGGTTCTAGTAGATGTTTTTGTGGACTCCATCAGGTTTCCTATATAAATATGATGTTATCTGGGAATAAGGACAGCTTTACATCTTCCTTTCCAATCTGGATAAAACAGGTCTATCACCCCAAAAAACTCCCTGATGCTACCCTTTTAAATAACCCCCCCCCCCTGCCTATAACTCCTGGCAACTGCTGATCTGTTTCCCATTACTTGTTTTGTATTTTCAAGAATGCCATATAAAGGGAATCATACTGCACATAAAATTTAAGACTGGTTTCTTCCACTCAGCATAATGCCTTTGAGATTCATCCATGTTTTTGTATGTATCAGTTTTTTCCTTTTTAATGACTGAGTAGTATTCCTTTATATGGCTATACCACAGTTGGTTTATCCATTCACCTGGTGAAGGACATTTAGATTGTTTCCAATTTTTGCCAATTATTAACAGGGCTGCTATACACACTTGTGTGCAGGCTTTTGTGTGAACATAAGTTTTCATACTTCTAGAGTAGACACTCAGGCGTGGTATGGCTGGGTCATATGGTAAGTGTCTGTTTAAATTCATAAGACACTACCAAATCCTTTTGCAGAGGGTGCTATCGTTTTGCATTCCCAACAGCAATGCATGAGAGTCCAGTTGCTCTGCATGCTCACCAGTGCTGTTACTGGCTCTTAATACCGGCCCTGATATCTGTTCCCCTATGGTGAACCCAGCATATATGGGGTTAAAAACTGAAAGTACATGTTCCTAGTTTCCTGCTTCTTTAGTTACACTCATGTGTAAGTATGTGTTTAACCTTTAACCTCTGATTGCCTGAGCTTTACAACCAGATAGACGTTACAAATTGTTAAAGCCCAGATGGCCTCAAGCTGGGCTCCCACGAAAGTTGTGGCTAATCATGGGAACTTGAAGTTCTTTTACAGAGAAACTAATGTCCAGAGAATATCAAGCAACCGAAGCTTCCTGGAGTCTGCCATCTACCATGGAGATAAACAGCCAAGGACGTCCATCTGTGGAATCCTTTGTCTCCCCGCCTTTGGAAGCAGTCCCAAATGCAGGCTGATGGGAAAACACTGACCAAGAAGGCCACAGCCCCCTCCCCTATCCCAAACTCTAAATAAAAATCCCTACCCCTTTCTTAATGGGGAGCTAGCAGTTGTTGAGGCACTAGCCCTTGCTTCACTCCTTCTGCCTGGCAAAGACCGTAAAGCCTTTCCTTTCCACTTAAGACTCTGTCCTTGTTATTTGGATTGGCATTGGGTTCAGGGCCCGAACCTTCGGTTACAGTCCTTCCTATTTTCAGTATATTTTTTTTTATTTTAGCCATTCTAATAGGTTTGTAGTAGTGATCCATAATTTATTAAGAAATGTTATTTTCCTAATGTTTTGAGGTTTTTGTATATTTCTAAATATCTTTCTGTTATTGATTTCTAAAATAATTCTGTGTGGTCAGAGAACATACTTTGTATGACTTGAGTACTTTTAAATTTATTAAGATTTGGTTTATGTAGCCCAGAATATGGTTTGTCTTGATAGGTGTTTTATGTGTACTTAAAGAATTTGTCTCCTGCTGATGTTGGGTAGAATGTTCTGTGACTGTCAATCAGATCAAATTAGTTAATGGTGTTCAAGTTTTCTGTATCCTTGCTGATCTTTCTGTCTATATATTCTATAAACTATTGAGAGAGGGTATTGAAATATGTGACTATAATTGTGGATTTATCCATTCCTCATAGAAAT